ATTAAGAGGGAGAAAAAAGAGTTGTCTGTAAAATCCTTCCTTTTTGGTATTTATACACTGCCCTGTGAAAGCAGGAGACAGAGAAGTCTTTCCTTTCGTTGGAAAATATAAAGCATCTCTTCTGGCCTCTTTAGTGGGTATCTCAACTACATTGCATTCCAGCTCATATGGCAGTCCTTTAGCTGATTATTCTATATTTATAATCTACATTTTCTATGGTGCATTTTTTTAGGACCAAAATACCCTTAGCTTGAGCATAAACGAGGCTAAATGTAATGTGAATTTGTATTGTTGAAGATGCACATCTGAGGAGACTATTGTCATCTTCTTGGTTAGAAAATAACAAAGTTCTGTTCCTTCTTATATTTTAGATGGAGAGGTCCATACAAACTCCTTCACAAATAATTGTCTAATCTTGAGTTGGATGTAGATCCAACTTCTGGGTGGTGTTTTGCTGTTCTAGCATGTGCGCTGATCTTGCTTGAATGCATTTGATCATGATGATGCTATGTCATGCATCCTATTTTTCCCTTGCTTAGAGATATATATTTAGAAAGTTGTATGCCCACTTAAAGAGGGGCTGTTCTGTATTTTCACCCACAAATTATATGTAATTTTTAATAAAATAAATTAATAAAATAAAATTCAAATTTGGTAAAATACATAATAAAACATTAATTAATTGATGTTATTTAATTTACATTAATTAAACTAAAATTTATTAAGTAGTTAATTAATATAAGGGAAGTATGCAAATAAATATTAGCAACAAGACATACGTTGCTGAAAACTAGGGAATATACTATTCCTGAACTTTTAGCAACAAGAGTCTTGTTGCTGAAAATGGAAAAAGAAAACCACATTCTGAAAACCACCATTTCTCCTAAACTTTAAGCAACATAGGCCACGTTGCTAAAACTATAGTTTCAGCAACGTGGCTTTTGTTGTTGAAAATAATTAAATAAACTTCCACACCGGCCACCGGAATCTGGCAAAAATATTACCAACATAAATCACGTTGCTGAAAGTGTTCTTTTAGCAACAAGGAGTATGTTGCTGATGTTGCTAATGTATCAGCCACCAAGGCATTTCCAACAAAGCTTTCAGCAATGAAAGCTATGTTGCTAAAAGGCTTTCACCTACATTGCAAGCACTTCAGCAACGAGGCAAGCACTTTTAGTGAGCTAGCCTGAATTGCATGCCCAAGTTTTTCCATTTTAGTTCGCACAAACTTGTTTATGAAGAAAGAAAAAGAAAACCAAGCACTAACCATCCTAAGAAATCCTTTGGTTCCCTATTACAGTCCAAAATAAAAATAAAAAATAAAAAATAAAACCAAAATCTTATTTATAGATAAGATTTGTTATTGTCATGTTGATGACTCCTGTATTATTTGTAAGAAAAATGATATATACACACTGCAAAGTTACATACTTTATTATACATTGATAGTTTTCGTTACTTGTATTGTTAAAATTGACAGTTTACGTTACTCATGCCATTAAAATTAACAATTTTCGTTACTTAGCCGTGAAAACCAATGGTTTC